CCGTAAGGAGGGTTTTGCCAGTAGTTGCCACGCTTGGCAGGGTGTTGGCAAGCCCTGTTAGGTTTTAGTGATGTTTTAAGAGGGTCGCTACTGCCTATCTCTCAACTATTAAGTTCCCTTAATCGCCTCTTACGACACCCGTCAGAATGGAAGAGATAGCTCATTCTATGCCGGGACCACATGACAGTTTCATGAATATTGTCATTAAATGAAGTTGAATGACGAATACAAAGTTTCAATTCGGTATGACCATTACGACTAATCCTGTACAGGGCGATAAAATTATAGTAACGAAAACTAGTACCCTTAAATTTACTTTGATAAGTTGACTTATTAAGCGTAGGTAATATGGATACCAATTTTATATCTATATATTGGGTTCCTTTGGACATTGATGGCGAAAAAAAAATTATCACCCATTTCGATATTGCTCATTTCAGTCGGATACCTATTTTCGTTATTAAAATTTTTTTTTTTTTTTTTTTTTTTATAAAACTTAGAATGGCAAACAAGCTGACGGCCCACCTGATGGAAAGTGGTAACCGTCGCCTATAGACATGAGCAGTACCATGGACATAACAGAATATGCTGTTTCGCCCATGATACCCCCATGCGTTGCCATTCCTGAGGACTCAGGTGTTATTCCTCTGTACCCAGTAAATTCACGCCATATCCCACCCTTCAAACCGAAACACAGTTATGCAAACACAACTGCTTCACGGTTGAAACACGAATGGGACAGAGGTACCCAAGCAATCGACTTAAAGAATACTATAATATAGATGTTTTAACTAAAATATTGTATATATTTATTAAATAATACAATATATAACGATATCTATATATCAACTAAAATATATGTTGCTATATATTACACATTGCTACGACTTTTTGGCATTGTATATTTAATATATCTATATAAACACAATAAGGCATCTTTACTGCTAAAAATATAGTTTTCTTTAGCTTTATTAACATACTGTATGAATAAAAAGTACCTACCTGTGTCATCATATCACTATACCAAATAAAACGTATATGTCAAACATGACAATTGCTTCAACTATTACAAAAATGTAAAGGAGCAACAAACAAACAAACTTACTTTCACATTTATAATATTAGTAAAGATAAGGCATGTTACATGGTAGGTGGCACAAGACCAACAACATGTTTCAAACAACGTATGAAATATGTCTTTGATGTGGCAAATACGGGAGAGTAAAAGCGGCGAACAGTGGCAAACTGTTTCGGCTCATCAACTCTAAACGTCAAAGGCTCAAGGAAACCTAAACGGTCACTGTTATTGAACGACTGAACCCACCTGGGCGAAGGAAACATAAATTATACATCCGTAAGATGTGAAAGTGCTAGTTTGTGTCATTGTAACGCGCCATTAAACTGTGTCGAAAGATATCCTAATATAGGTGGCTAAGTTAGTTTACCTTATTATAAAACTAAGTTCATTCGGTCCAATAAATATAATGCAAGGCAATACAATAATTAAAAAAGAGATCCAAGCCCCTTCTTTCTGTATTTAGTTACATAAAATGTCAACGTGATGACTAAAGAAATGAAAGATGTATCTAAAGAAACAGTATCTCAGCGGTGAGAGCACAGCCTCCCTACACAGATGGTAAACGAATCTATCGATGGAATGGTTATTACAAGCTAGTATATGAGCTGGAACGAGACATCGGATGTTGCTACTTCATTCTATCTAGTTGAAATAAAATGAAATTGTTATCTAGTGATGACGATTCCACTGACGGATTCGTTTGTTACTTGTCTAGAGGTCCTGGCCGTGGTGCAGCAGCAGATTATACGATTTCAAACCCTATCCACTTGATTTTTTCATTAATGCAATATTTATTATGATTTTATATGACTTTGATATTAATTTTTCCTTCTTTCAACTTCTTGTATTATATTGTTCTTTTAGTTCTTTTTTGTCGCCTCTTACGACATTTTATCTTCTTAACATGAAAAAGCGTGGTTATATATTCTACTGATAAAATCGCCTGTAGAACTAAACTTTTACCACACATGTAATATTAAACTTGGCAGATACTTACCGTATTCAACTTTTCAAAGGAATTCTTTTACAATATCAATACTTACTACTCTATCCGAAAAATTCTGAATCCGTCGAGCTTGCAGACGGGGAGGCTTCATGAGCGGAATATAAAATAACAAGACCCCTCATCTCCGCTCAATCGTGTTACTCGTAATTCGCTTAGGGGTGATAAATCACTGTTTAGGGAATGGGACTTAACTTGATTAGGAAGGTTGAGTCTGATAACGACTAGTTTATGTGATTATAGAGGTCAACATGCATGATTAAATTGTAAAATTTATGACGCAGTTACCAAGACTTTATTACAAGATAATTGAATTACTATGATACCATTAAATTTGTACACGCCCTTATGTAATTATTTGTACCACATTATGCCATTATTTGTTTTATAAGAAAAAACATTAAAAAGTAGAACTGCTGACATTCAGTAACATTAACTGTATTTATTGTAAAATGTTTTTATTATCCATACAAGTGACCGGTTTTGAAATGTCATCTTTTCATGTATTTATGCCAATATTTAAGATATGTTGTACTTATCATCATTAATTCATAAAGTTAATATAACTTTATTCCTCGAAATTACTTAGATATATAAGTAGATACTGAATTGAAGCGTTACAAAGAAGTAAGATATGGAGACCATTAGTACCTACTCGGTTCTTTCTATTTACAGCATCAGATGGTTACTTTATATTAATTTTTCTTCTGGTATTCGTGAATACCTTAATAGGTATGCAGACGGAGAAAGGGAAAAATATACCTACATTTCTTATGGTTCTATTTATTTCTATTAGATTTTTTTAAACAGAGATAAAATAATGAAATTACTGTGTGCCTTCTGTAAAATTCATACAAGTACCTACATATCATAGAGGTCAATGACGTCGGAGTGATGCCCCTGTAGATCACAATAGGCTGCGACAATCGCTTGTCATCAGGCGGGCCGATAATAGTTTGACATATTCAATGCATAAGAAAACTTTACAGCTGCAATCACGCCACAAATTGAATATTATTAAAAAATATTTTCTCAGGTTTTACTTAACTACGCGATGTATTCACAGTAGCTTTGAATAAGCGAAGCGGGGCACCGCCCAGTATTACCAGTACACAGACATCAAGCACCGTAGACTGTCGGGACCACCATAGAGTGCCATTAATAAACAGAAGATTAAGCTAGACCACGTCGTGATTACGGACCAGTGTCGCAGATGAGCTCGGTTTTTACGGCACGAGCTCTGACTGAGCGCCCACCCGCCGCGGCGACACTTACTTCCCCTCATTATTTGTGGTTTCAATTCGCTTTTTACGACGAACGTCGCCCTCATTGTGGCTGCTCCTGTAAATTGTACGCGGTCGAAAATGATGTAATTGGCTTCTCCTGCCGCACGAAACGCGACTCTCTCTGTACGTAATAAAATTGTCATTTGGTTTTTGACCAAGAAATCTGATGACATTTGCCTGGCTTACGCAAGCGTCTGTATCAAAATTCATTTGTCGAATGAGCAGTGTTGGTAAAAAGTCGTCGTTGTTTATCAGTTGAAGCGATCTGTCAGTAATTACCGCAAGGAAAGTAGGCCCCAGATATACCTATTACTGCATTAGTTAGGACTTGGAACTTGATGGACGTCATTAGATATGAACATTAACGTCAAATCTTATTAAGCCGCCATAACACGCAGCTTTGCCCGGGTCAAATTAAATTGAAATTATTATATTAATTTAAAATATTGTGTATGTGTGTACCAAATTAATTCCCATTTTAGTTACTATATTCAAACATCTTTACAAACTTTTGTATTTTTAATATTAGTAAGTTCATCATAATAATATGGGACAACTGTATAAGACTCCAATGATTTTATAACTACTCATTCATTAGATAGCTGGTACTGTGACTGTGATTTTGCGATAATTTACTAATTATTTAATTGATCTGGGCATTTTCTGTATATTTATAAATGTAATTCCTTTCTTGTACATAGGAATTTAGTACTTACCAATATATAATGTTAAAATGTGGGACTGTAGAGCATTATATGCACTAAAACAGTAACAGTAGACGAATGTCGCAGATTACCTTATTTGGTATTATTTGTGAGCGTTTTTATTTATACCTATTATATATATGTATTAATAAAAGTTAATAATGTTTCTTTACACTTTGGGTTTGCTGGAAGAGAACTCTTCTAAGTTCGCCTTTGTATATTTGATTACTTCTGTCATATTTTTATGAATAATTGGTGTGTACAATAAAGTATTAAATTAAATCAAAAATATTTTTAGTAATAATACTTATGTAATAATTACTCATAGTACAATGCTTTGTTTTGTTTGGTATAAGATAGTTCTTATGACTCTAGGTCTATTTACTTATTCCATACAATATCAATGAATATAAAAAATCAGCTTGTTTTCCATTTCCAGAGCAGTCAATGCGCTTTCAGGCTGTTTTATCTAGGATTAATTTTATGAATAACCGTCGTTAGTTTCTATATTCTAGCAAAAATACTGATCTCCTATTGCCAACAGAACTTTAGTGTTTTTTTTTTGTAATATGGAACTTAATAGCTATTTATAATATGTCGTGACATAATGTGATAGACGACTGCTAGTGTCTGTACTTACCTAACCTTAGTCATCAATTTTTTATAATATATCATAGGGTGACATTCACGCGATTCCCCCCAGAAACCATCGTGATTAATTCTTTGAATTTTCATTGAATTCACCACAATGGGCTAATGGACCTTGTTTTTATCCTCACTTATCCAACACTCACTGGTATCCCGCCATTCTAAGAACAGCATCAGTTGACATCATCCAATGTCTAGTTGGCTATAGCATCACCACTACTGTTTTTTAATACTTGCTTGGTTTATACTTGGGTTTAAGTAAATAAATAATAATACAAATATCCACTCGGAAAAAATATATTCATTTTTATAAAATCAATATCAGGCATTTTTAATTCGCACAATTTTGTACAATATACATTATAGGAGTAATTTTATACCTACTTATAATTTAAGCCAACAAAACTTTAAGAATGATAGGCTTCCATATGATTGCATTATTTTGACATTTCTTTAACGAAACAATTTTTTTTTTATATATAATCATGGTCTTTAAATATATATAATTTTAGTTTTTTTTTTCTTTTTATAAAAAGTAAACCAACTTCAGTCTTGACAAAATTACTATGATGCCAACATGGACTAAACTCTTAAGATGAAGGAAAAATTTAAAATTGGTTCAGAATTATCAAAGATATCGCAGCATATTACATAAAATTGTCAAATTGGGAATTTCCATCTTTTTTGAGTCAATTGAAAATTAGGTGCATATACGAATTTTTATAGGTTAACTTCATTAGGGTTACATAAAGGTATAAATAAAATAAAGAAATGCTCGTACATAATAATCTAGCAGATATGAATATACTCTATATTTATTAAGTCAATTCGTCTACGATCATTTCGATCTCTGAAACGATACATTGACTTTGTGTTATAGTTTACAGCTATTTAACTATTAGCACTTCATTTGACATAAAAATCTTTTGAGTTATTAAACAACATATAGGACAATGTATTATTTTCAAAGAAGTTTTAAACAGTAGCCTGTTTAAAACTTGTAGTACTTCTCTTCAACTTGTGTAGAAACATAAGACGGCTATAGGTGTTCGCCTTATGCTGGCAATTTCTGATACAGACACTATTTTTAACAAATTATTATTTATTCATATAATATTTTTAAGAAGATACAACTAATAATAATTTTGGAATATTTATGGCTTCAAACAATTTCGATTCTGTTAGTTGTATTTACTTATTTCACATTATTTTATTAAATATAGTAAATGGACTAAATGCATTTAGGTAATTACACTTGTAATATATAAAAATTTAAAAAACACATAATTTGGTGATGACAGAAAATAAAAATAAATAACTATATAGATAGTCACTGATGTCACAATTGATGTTAACAAGTTTTGAATAAATTATATACTGCAATTTCGGACTAAAGTGTCATTCTACTTATATCTAATTAGTATTTACCATACAATTTATTACTATAATAATATGAGATAATTATTATTTAACATTATCTATACTGTACAACACTTTAAGTCTCACAACAAATACGTACACGATGGCTGCGACTGCGCGCAGCATCATATCGTCTATATAATCAAGGTCCACATTAATTTACAATGTTTGATATGTGCTATGTACATGTAGCTGCGGCTGAGGCGGTGGCGGCGGCGGCGGCGGCGCTAGTATCACAGGAGCGGCGGTGCGTGATGCGGGTGCGGCACAGCAAGCGCCGCCGCCGCACGCCCCCGTCACACCAACGCGCTCGGCTTCACGTCCAGAGGGTGCTCCGGCGACCGGCTTCCAGCACCGCCCTCGCCCTGACTGTTCTCTTCTGAATCTGAACATGACTCTGAACTACCCTTCTTGCCTCCATTATGTGTTTTCACATGCTTAGCGAGGTGATCAGATCGCATAAATCTCTTATTGCAAACCGGACACGCAAACCTCTTCTCGCCGGTATGCGTGCGTAAATGTCGCTGCAGCTCATCGGAGCGCGTAAACCGCTTTCCACAAAATAGCCAATTGCAAACAAACGGCCGCTCGCCGGTATGCCAGCGTAAGTGGGCTTTCAGGTGGGATGTCTTTCCGTACACTTTGCCGCAACCGGGTATATGACAACTATGTATATTTTTCTTCCTAAGGTGTGCTCCTGCAGGGCCGAGTCGTTCAGCTTCTTGGCAATTAGGACAGTCGCAGGTAGCTCTACCCGCGTAGCGCCTTTGTGATCGAGGTGAAGGTGCTTGCGCCGGTGGTGCAGGGGATCCGGGCGCATGTAATCCAAAAGAGCCTTGAGTTGGTAAAACAGATTTGTAAGCATCTTGTAGAAGGTGTGGAGCAGGAGGTAGTAAATGAGCTCCACCAGAAAGTGAATGTGTGAGTTGAGAATAATCCTGACCGGCGTAGTTAGCCATTTGTCCACCAACGTCTAACCAGCCACTATGCACATCCCACCATGTACTACCTACAGCACCGACACCACTCATTTCGGCAGCTTTAAGAGCACCGCTGCTACCACCACCTCCAACGTTAAATGGCCACGATTCGTACGGATGCCGTGAATACATAGAACCGAGACTCGCACTAGATTCACTTTTGCCAAGAAGTTGGTCTCCAGACGATGGGAAGTAAAGGTCATTGCCATAAGCTGTAGGCGCCGCAGCACAGGAGGTCGGCGCTCGAGCATACGGTGTGCATGCTGGAGGTTGTGAACGAGGTGTGCTGCCTCCTCCAGGTGGGGAGTGGGCACCGGGACTTTTCTTCCAAGGATGAAATCCTTTTCCTACTGCAGCGTCTGCCAGAGGAGGGGGTGATTTGCTGGATAATTTGTTGCACTGCGCGGCCAGCATTGCCAGAGGCGTGCCGCGTAAGCTCGGATGTTCCTGGAAAGACAGACAATGGATAGTTAATTATTTTTGATAAAAAAAAGACTATTCTATATTCGGTTTTAATTAACGGATCTTGTTGAAACCGTGAGAATCGGTCTGACTGTCGAGTCAGATTTATAGTCTAATTTATATGTGAACTGATGCTGCGGCATTCGACTCGTGCCCGAGGCGTTCGGATATAATATAAATAAATTATGAGGGGTTTATACGCAGTGTATTTACAATTAGTAGCACAGTGACAGCTCCTGGTGGCTACCATTCAGAAGCCGCAGAATGTCGTAATTAATAAATGTTGCCTGCGTTTCGAATTAATTATGAAATCTTTACTACAATTGTGTAAGCAAATAGTAAAATTTGTTGGAAAGTAATCAAAATTATGATCTATTCTAGATTGGTTGTCTAATTCGAAAAGGTTATCTAATTTAAATAATAAGTTTGAAGATATTTATTTCAGAATATTTTACATATAATAAACTTTTTGTCTTCCCTAATTACAAATTCTTCATAGGAATTCTGTTATCTACATCACAATGTTAACCAAGAACAATCGATATAATTTTTGTCTCGCCCTCAAGTTCAATACATATTTAAAATCCGATTATATCAGGCATTACCTTTGTTGCATTACCTTTGTTGCATTACCTTACTGATAGTAGATATAATTACAATAGTTTGTACAGGTAATATCTAAATATTTATTATTAAAGAACGGTAAAAACGTAAATGAATTTTATACTGTTCGATAATTTGGCCATGATTTCTAAAATAAGTTAAAAGCTAATTTTATCGTAATATGTACACGTAAACAAGTCCGCGGATTACAGCTAGTGTTACATATAAACAGAAATAAATGGTTAAAAAATTGAATAATCCTTTCAACGTTGTTCATTTTTGGGGGTATAAAGGTGAGTACAAGAGAACATCCGGTCGCCGGATATTTCACCCCAATATGACACAATGCCTCAGTAAAAAAGTCCCATTGTCTGCAATAATGTAATCCGGGGATCAACGACACGGGGCCGGTAGACGGGCGCGGGGTACGACCACGCCCCTGTACATTGTGATTGGCGCAGCTGTCATGGAACGGTGTGCACCAACCCTTAGGACTGTTAATAGGTTTATAGATACTTCGAATCGAAACAGAGATTATGTATGAACTAACTTGGTCAATGTAAAAAATCTGTTTATATACTTAAATACAAGTCAATATTCTTCAAAATGTTATTTTGGACGATTGGAGCCGGTCTCCGAGTTTTTTATGTTCATTGGCTTTATATGTTTCGGTTCATATAAAAATTTATATGATATACTACGATAACGCATCTACTTATTTTATGTAGGCACTGGCAGAGTAAACAGAATTGTTACTATCATATACTGGGATCTTTTCCTATTTAAAATTTTATATTTAAGTAGGTATTAACTTTTTGTTTTAATGTCTAGAAAAGAATGAGGCGTCTGTGGAAATGAAGCGGAATACATCAGTGCTTAAGAAGGAAAACTCGAAATAAAACACTAGGTATATCAAGCCAACATGGTAATAGTTTACATCCTCTTAAAAGAAGATACTAAAATCCAACAGTGAGACGTTACAGGGTCATAATAATTTTTCGTTCATACCGCACACCTTCAAAATTTAATTATAGAATTTATTTTTCTTCTGGGGAAATTAAAGGCATTTAAATAAAAGCATCATATTAAGCCGTATTCCAGCAAATAGAAATAATGGGGCCGGGCCCAGTGCGCTATCAGAGTCGGCATCTGCCGAGTTGTAAATATGGCTGCGCTCTCAATTAACCACGACAATTACGATTAACATAAAAAAATAATAAAACTCCGTTAAACTGCCACGGAGGCGCTGACGTCGCGTCGTTCGTGTATGTTATGCTTTAATTTGAAAAACTATTTGATTTGCATAGAATGGAAATTTATAAATTATAAAAGTAAACTACCTATTCACTGTTTTTTTTTTTAAATATCTAATTCTAACTACGTTAAACAGAAATATGCATGGCATATTTCTTAAACAAAGTACATACCTAACCTCATGACCAGATATAACCTGTCAAACAGAGCAATTTTTTATTATGTTCGTAGATATTAATTAGGTAGTTGTAATATTAACTTTATGAATTCTGTGATATCATCTCTGTGAACCTTTTTATCCTAAAATAATTTCTTAATAAAATATTTATTTTAGAAACCTCTGTATAAATGTTGTAGGCCTAGTAGTCGTTTGTACGCTGCCAGATATAGCGTATAGTAGTACAAAAGGGTAACAAACCGAAATCCAGTAGTATATTTATTTATATATAGCTTTTACCAGCGACTTCTACCGCGTGACTAGGATATGTTTACTGACTGGGATAAAAAGTGGCTTACAACCTTCTCCATCCCACATTACTTACCACATTAGTACGTGTTCACTATATTACATAGTGATTGGTTAAGTTGTTAAGGCGCTATAAGGTAACAAGCATAGAAACTCACTTTCACATTTATAATACTAGTAAGGATAACAAAGAAACTGTAGTACCTACAGTAGTACAAGAGTAAGAAATTTTTAAATAAAATTTTACGGTCAACGTGAAAGATTTTAGGAAGAAACCCACGCTAAGCAATGAGACAAACAATGGATTATGGGTATTATTATTATCGTATTATGACGCGCGATATGGACGCAAAGTTAAAAAAAATATCATATTAAATCTACCATGGAGTTTTACATAAGCTTTTTACGACAATTGATTACTAATAATACATTCCATTACCTACATGCTATATAGGTAGATATATAGATAAAATTTATTGGCATCGTAATATAACTTAACAATAACATAAAATCAAACCTAACACTTTTACAAAGGCTATTTCAATGTAATTTGTAGATAATTGTGTATTAGAAGTGATATAGTGAATGCGAAGAGACGTGCAGACAGACGCTCCGCCGTGGCCCGCTAAAGTCATAATTACCCTAGGTATTATGTTCCATTTGGGTGCCCGAAACGAGTGATATCGGGTAATTGGTCAACGTTCGGAGTGGATCAAAGTGTAGATGACGGTTCATGCCGCCACGCCGGCGCCGTCCAAGCATTACAATGTTGATGGCCTTTTCCTTGTCAAAAATGACGAAGATCTTTTCTCGTAAAAAATACGAGATGAAATAAAACGAGATTACCTAATGCGAGCACAAAATTGTAATATCAGTCAGGTCAGGTAGCGGCTGGCTTTCGGGAATGATTCCACCAGGTGGTATAATTATTTTCTTAGGTACCTACCTAGTGTGTACAAGTTGTATTTCGATACGTAGAATTAATAATTACCTAAGTGTGTTTGTAACATATTTACTTTATTTAGAATATTGTGATTTTTAACTGAGTGCCTAATTACTAGTGAATTTGGAATTTTGTGTCGAATTTCAGGGATTACATACTTATCGACAGATACTTAAATGTACATATGAATTAGCAGTTGCAATAAAATTGCATTTCTTTAAACAACTAACGAGATAAAATTGCTTCAACAAGAATTTGAAAGGCGACCGGATATATCAGTGGCCAAGTGTATCGGATTACTTAATTATAGACAACCATTTATTAGTTTAGTAGGTCAGCGAACAAACCACCAATTTATTCGATGCAATCCATACTAAGATTGCACAAGATTGTCCAAAACATTCGCTCTTATGTTTGAAGTTGCAATAAAATTAATAGAATCTAACTTAGTTATCATTACATTCGACGATAACAGTACTTATTGATATAAACTTTGTATAGACTTGAGATAATGTTAATATAATTACATACTAACTGTACAAACTTTTAAGAAATAATAAGTCTGTATACCTAAAATATTCCAGGTTTATTAAAAGTCAGCTGTAAAGAAATCTGTAAAGTGTTTAATTTTATCCAAGTAATTATCAAGTTTTATCTATCAAAACATATTTATAATACCATACCATCATCATCATCATCGTATCAGCTGATAACTATCCACTGCTGAACATAGGCCACCCCCCATTCAGGGGACAAATAAAAGAATGAAAGGGATTGTGTCTATGACTATATAATTAGTAATATAAGATGTATAATATAACACTATAGTCTTTCTGAATTGCATTAGACTTAATATATCATAGAAATGTCAGTATATGTATTATCCGTAATATGATAGTGTTTATGTGTATTGTTGTGTGTATTTTTAATAATAAATATTACTGTACCACAATATAACTATAGATACATATTATGTCGTAAAAAGAAACGAAATAAACGTGTGAAGCAATAAATCGTTGTAATTGGATATGGTACATGTACGCTATGTTCACAGAGCAAAGCTAACTTGGCGCGGCTTCGCAAGATTGAATAATTTTAAATTATCTACCGAAATTATGACGAGCTGAGATGAATATTCAAGCGAAACGTTTAGCCCTCGACGTGTTATTAAGATGATCGTGAAGTCGTTACTGGCCAAATTGTATTTCATAAAATTCATAACTATACTTATGAGTTAATATTTTTCGACAACACATCATTATTGAATATAATGAGGCTAGTTGGTAATATTGTTCCACATTAAAATTTTGTATAGTTATTATTTGTAGATATTTTAGGTGCTAAATTTATATCGTCATAAAAACTACTTAATCGATTTTGATAAAATTTCTATGGATCCAATCTATAATATAGTTTTAGATAAAAGAAAATTTTTCCAAGTCGGTTTACAACTGACTGAGTTATGATAAAACAAATATAAAAAAATTTTTGGTAGTCAGTTGGAAATATAAGTTTCATACTTTTAATCCGATTACTTAATTTTGTTTTTTTTTTTATTTATTTTTAATAAAGATTTTAATACAGAAGATAATTAATTTTAATTTCTATGTATATTATATCAAGTCATGAAAAGCTAAGAAACTTCTGTCTTAAACTTTCTTATTATGTTTATACTTTAAAGTTTATATGAAAACTTCCCAATAACTGAGAGGTAGGTAT